TGCCTGCGTGGGAGGGATAAGCCGGGCAGAGATCCCAGCCACCCGGCTGCTCCAGACCCTCTGGAAGATAAAGAGCTGTTTGTGGTGAAAGGTCCGTTTGTGATGAAAAACCGGAGCAGGAATCTGCCCTCGAGGGGGTCACGAAAGGACCGCGCAGAAGGACGGCGCCGGGCCTGGGGCAGAGGGTGCTTGTCCTGGGGAAGGCGAACTGACCCGACTCGGTACAGATGTTGGAAGGTCCTAGAGCAACAGGCGCCCCTGCTGCGTTCTAGAGTGGCAGGGCCCCCGCAGCCCCATGTTCTGGAGCTGCAACTAACCCCCTTTGCTGCGTGCTAGAGCCACAGGCCTCTCCACAACCCCATGTTCTAGAGCTTCAGCTCACACCCCCACCTCTGCGTTCTAGAGCGACCGCCCCCGGCCCCGTGTTCTAGATCTTCAGCTCACCTCCCTCCACACCCTTTCAGAGTGACAGGCCTCTCCGCTGTCTCCGAGTTCGAATGCCTGTGTTCTAGAGTGCCATCCCCAACCTCATCTTCCAGAGCTTCAACACCTCCCTTTCACTGCCTGTCAGAGCAACAAGCCTTCTCACTGCACTCCCGTGTGCCAGGTCTTGTAACCCTGTTCCAGAGCTTCAACTCTCTGCCCAATCACCGCATGGCAGAGAAATAGTGCCCTCCACTATATTCCAGAGCAACAGCCCGCCCCTCTCATGCAGGCTGCCATCCTTCCCGTGTGTTGTACAGGACCAGACACCTCCAAAGCTTTCTAGAGCAACAGCCACTACGTTATAGAGCCCTCTCCACATCTTTCCACGGTGACATCAGTGGCATTCTAGAGAGGCAGCCTGACCCCACCACACGCTCTGAAGATGCAACTTGCTGTCTGTTCAATGCATTCTAGAGCAACCCCCCTCCTCCGCTGCACGCCAGGCTGACACATAGTGCGTTCTCGAGTGCTCAGCTGCCTTGTCCCATGTTCTAGAGCTTCCACTCTGATTTAGAGCAACAGGCCCTGCATTCTAGACCAACAATTACCGCCAATGCATTCTAGAGCGGCACGTGCAGCTGTCTTCTAGTAATCACAGCCTGTGTTCAAGAACAGTTGTTACTGCTGGAGTAGCGATCATCGCTGTGTTCCAGCCCTGTTTTGTCGAGTAATTAGCCACTGGGTATTCTGGAGCGTCAGTCACCACACACTTCTAGAGTAATATTAAGCACCAGAGTGTTCTAGAACAACTGTCGCCAGAGTATTCTAGAGCTACAGATAAGGCCCTGGTGCTGCAAGTGCCAGCACTGGGCTCCATTGCAGGGTCATGGCTGATCACAATAGTCTGGAGTGAAAACCACGACAGCATTCTAGAGTAACACTCCCCACTTGTATTCTGGAGTAACAGTCCCTGCTGCAGCACGACAGGATGCTGGAGCCATAAACAATGAGGCCCAGCCCCTGTAAATGGAGGTCGCTCTGTCGAAGTCAGCATAGGAAATGGAGCCCAGGATTCTAGAGCAGACCAGCATCAGGGGGCGCTAGACTAGAGCATTAAAGGGCCAAGGCAAATGGTGGCATGGGAGTGAGCAGGTAGGAGGGGGTTATCTTGGCTTGGTCACCATGGGGGCACCTACCCCTAGAGCATGTAGGTTTGTGCAATGAGTCTTTGCCATTGCTCCTAAAAGGGGAAAGATCGGGAGTTAGATAAAGAAACAAACACATATGGGATGAGGTAGAGAGATGGGTGACATGGGGACTGGATGGGCGGGGGGGGATGTATAGGGACTGGATGGATGGAGGGGGATTTATGGGGATTGGATGATGCCCATAGGGGATGGATGGATGCATTAGAGAGATGGATAGACAGATGCATATGGTATTAGATGGATAGACAGTTGTGTATGTGGATTCAAGAGAGAGAAAGACAGAGAAAGTGAGAGACATGAGCACAGGCAGATGGATGATATACAGACTGACTAGCTAAAATAGGATCCTATTTTTAAAAAGTATATTGACTACTTTAGAGCAAAGCTGTATTTATCTGGCAAGCATTACCATAGAGAGTACTGTAGTAGTTTAATACTACTGTGATCTGATACTGTAGACTACACTAAAATTAGTCTCAGTATTCATGAGTACTTACCATACAACACTGTAGTATTTTAACAGTATTGAGATCCATTACTTTCCCACCCTTTCAGTACTTCAAAGTATTTTTTAAAGTAATCGCTATGCAACACTGAAAAAATGTAACAGTATTTTGATCTATTCACTGGGACACCATAAAATTCGAAATCACTTACTATAGAATACTGCAGTATTTTAACAGTATCTTGACATAGCCCTGTAGGATATGCTAGCTCTTTGCAGTAATTTGGGACATTACTGCAGTAATTTAACCGTCTGTTAATCTAGAATACCCTGGTGCTTTACAGAGGTAAGGTGGGGGAGGTAATATATTTTATTGGACCAACTTCTGTTGGTGAGAGAGACAAATTAGTCCAATACCAGATATTACCTCATCCACCTTGTCCCTCTAATATCCTGGGACTGACCTGGCTACAATGACACTGTTGCTTTTACAAGTGATTTAATGCAATGCTATAGTAATTTAACAGTACCATTATTACTCTAGTATTTTACTGTATTTACTATGGAACACCAAAGTAATTTAGCGGTATTGTCATCTGTTACTCTGGAATACACTAGTACTTTGCAGTAATGTTGAGTAACTCCACAGCAATTTAACAACACTGTGATGTTACTCTAGCACTCTGTAGTAATTTGAGCAATACTGCAGCCATTGAAGAGTCATACAGCTTATCACTGTAGAATACTCTTGCCCTTTATTGTATTTACTATATAATATGGTGATTTAGCAACCTGTTACTCCAAAGTACTCCAGTGTTTTTGAAGTAATTTTGAGCAATGCTGCAGCAATTTAAGAGTAGTGTGATGTTATTATTCTCGAGCAGTCTAGTAGTTTGCAGTGTCTTTGCGCAATGGTGCATCTAACGTTATTATAGCCCCTTGCTTTGGTATTTAACGTATTCACTATAGAATACCAGAGTAATGTAATTGTATTTTGATCCGTTACTCTCGAGTACTCTAATAATCTGCAGTATGTTTGAGCTGCTAATCCAACAGTGCTATAGCCTCTTACTCTAAAATGTTACCATATTTACTATATAATACTAGAGCAATTTAAAAGTAGTTCCCTGTTACGCTCAAGTACACTATAGTCTGTAGTAATTTTGAGCAGTCTAACGGTATTATGGCCCATTACTCTAGTATTTTTACTGTATGATATTATTACACTAGACCCCATATTACTCACATACTATATTTATTTACTATATAATACCAGTTCAAGATGGTATTGTGATCGGTTCCTCTCAAATACTCTAGTACTTCAAAGCAGTTACTCCAGGATCCTCAAGTTTTTTTCTTTAATGAACATTACTCGGTAGAAAGATTTTTCCAGCTGCCTCCTTGGGTTCTGTAGCCAGTGCTAGTGGGTCTGCCCCCCGGGCACACATTCATATCACCGGGGGCATTTTTAGTGCCCGGAGGCTGGGCAGAGAGACTCTGGCTGCATGCTGTTGACGTTCAGCCACAAAGTTTAGCCAGGGATGCCTCTTGCCTAGCGACTGTCCCTGCTAAATGATCCCCTTATGAGGCAAAGAACAGACCAGCCACTGTGTGCATCTGGCCAGGGGCAACCCCAGACCCCGGCACGGGTCACATGTGTGAAAAGGCTTTTGTGGATCACCCCATTCCCTCCCGGTGCCCCCTCCCCACCTGGCCCCTGCCACTGTGTCCCTAGCCTGGCACTGGCAGGGATCCCCGGTGAGAGGGAAAGAGGGGGCTTCGAGGCCCATCCAGCCCTCAGCCTCTCTACTGAGGCTGCCAGAGACTTTGGGCCAACAGGGAAGTGGCCTGGGGCCGAACAAACTCATTTCACATTGGGGCTGTGGAATGGGAGTGACAGAGTGGGGCTAGATCGGCGTCTCTAGAGGGGAGAGGCCCTGTGAGCCATTCCCCATACCCCTGAGCCAGCCAATCCCCCACTGAGGCCAGATCAGAGCCAGTGCCCCAGATGGGAAGGGCCCCATATCCCATTACACTCCCTCCCCAAGCCAGCCAGTGCCCCTGCCCTGGGGCCAGATTGAAGCTGGCATCCCCTATAGGGGAACGGTCCCATATCCTGCCCCTCCACCCCCCATAAACCAGCTACAAACTCAAGCCAGGTTGCTCCAAAAGGAACTGGCTGGCTCAGAGGGGTGGGGAATGGGATATGGGGCCTTTCCCCTCTAGGGGGCGCCGGCTCCCAGCCAAACCTGGAGGAATTGGAATCAGCCACCCTATTTCCACAGTCCGTCCCCCGCCTTTCCTGCTCTAGCACCATGAGAACAGGGTGGGGACGTTCCTGGACCACATCCTTGTGGCTCCCATGACAACCCCGGCCTCCACCACGTGCCCTATATCCCTGGCCCACGAGGGCCAGAGACGCTGCCCAATGGGAGCTGGGCCCGGGCGGGAGGGCAGAGGTCAACCATGGCTAACAGCCCCACGGCTGGGGTTGGCGTCCCCACGTTGAGCCCTGTGTTAGGCACCTGAAGGAGGAGGAGAAGGAATGAGGGGAGGAGAGAAGGAGGGATGAAAAGAGGGAGGGAAAAGCGGGAGAGAAGCAAAAGGAAGAGAGAATGTGGAAAAGGGTGAAGGACTGAGCAGAGGAGGGAGAAAGAAAGAGGAGGAATGAAGGAGAGCAAAACAAAGAAAGAGTAAAAAGGGAAAGAGTGAGAGACGCTGAGGCCGGGAAAGAATGAAAGAGCCGAGAGCGGGAGCGAACGAAAGGGAGGGAAGGAAAGAAAGAGCGAAAGAACGGATAAAAACGCTGAGAGGCGGGAGAGTGAAAAGCGAGAGCACGAAGCAGAGAAAACAAAAGAGAGCGGGGGAAAGGAGGAACGCCAGAGAGCGAGCGAAGGAGGGAGTGAGGAGTGCGCTGGTACCTTTTTGCGGTGGGGGTCGTTCTTGGCCAGGCAGGATTTCGACAGGGACAGGTAGCCCCCGATCACCTGGATCTCCTCCGCCGTCGGGTAGCGCTTCTTCAGTGGCGCGCCAGCCGCCTTCTCGGGCGCCGCGGGGCCCCCCTCGCCCTCCACGCCGTTCTCCACGGCCGGCGCCGGCGCCTTGCGGGGATTGATGGTGATGGTGTTGCCACTCCGGCGCTGCACGGCCGGGTGGGGCAGGGCAGAGGGGCCCCCCAGCTCCCGGGGCCCCCGGCCCCCGCGCCTCATGGCCTCCCCCTCGGCCGGCTCCTCGGTGCTGGCCGGGAGGGGAAGCTGCTCGCGGCTAGGGGAGGAGGAGGAGGAAGTGGAGGCCGGAGCAGCGGCAGCCTTTGGAGGAGAAGTGCTGGTTTCCTGCCGAGCCTCACCGGGGTCTGGGGGAGGGGAGGCGGCCGCCCGGCGCGGCACCACCACGAAGGAGTTGCGCGAGTGCAGACGCAGGCTGGCCACGGCTTTGGCCTGGGCCTCGGCATCCAAGATGGTGTCGGCAGGCGGGCCTGAGGATGAGGCGTCTCCGTTGTCTGCCCTACCCCCACTGTCTGGAGAGGCGACCTCTCTGCCCGGTGGGCCCGGTATCACCGCACCCGAGCCGTCGCCAGCACCGTCACGCCTCTCCGGTGAGGCGGCTTCTCTGGCTTGTAGGCCCAGCCCCACCACCAACGCACCGCCGCCAAGCCTGGCTCCCCTCTCCGGTGAGGCGGCTTCTCTGGCTTGTAGGCCCGATCCCACGGCCAACGCACTGCCGCCAAGCCTGGCTCCCCTCTCCGGTGAGGCGGCTTCTCTGGCTTGTAGGCCCAGCCCCACGGCCAACGCACCGCCGCCAAGCCTGGCTCCCCTCTCCGGTGAGGCGGCTTCTCTGCCTCGCGGTCCTGGTGCCATGGCATTGCCATCACCCCTAGTTCCCCTTTCTGGTGAGGCGGCCTCCGTGCCTTGAGGCCCTGGCACCATGGCCAATGTGTTTCCACAGTGCCAGGCTCCCCTGTCCGGTGAATTGGCCTCCCTGCTCCGAGGGCCCGGCACCACCAGGCCAGGGCTGCCACCGTCAAGCCTGGCTCCCCTCTCTGGTGAGGCGGCCTCCCTGCCCCACGCTTTGCCGGTGGGGGAACGCCTCGGAGGGCTCTCTGGCCAGGCCTCGGACCTGGCTTCAAATTGGCTGCGGTAGGAAGCCACGGTAAAGGGAGGTGGCGAGGGGGCCAGGCCCGGCAGGTCGCGGGGAGGGCTGGGTGTGCCACTACGGCGCTGGGCCGAGCCGGGTGGTTTCCTTGCCGCCAGGGGGCGTTCGTAGGAGCCATCGGCGAGGTTCTCGGTGCTGAGGGACCTGAGTGGGTGCGGGGGTGGGTCCTCCTGGCCGAAGCGGCTTAGCAACTTGCTGACACGCCCGCGGCGTTGCTCCGGGAGCCCCAGCTGGCAATCGGCCTCGCCGTGGCTTTGGCCGAAGGAGTTGAGGTCTTCCACGCTGCGGCTGAGGGCCGATTTGACAATGAAGACTTCGCCGGCCCGGATCTCGGTCACGCTCCCGCCGCGCCGGGCCAGCAGCTCGTTCAGGGACTCCACGCTGCCGGATTTGGCCTCGGCCCGCCGCTCGGCCCCCGGCGGCGCCGCTCCCGGCACCGACTCAATGATGATGACGTTGTCGGCCCGTAGGGTCCTCACCCCGGGGCGCTGGCTGTACAGCTCCATCAACTGCTTGGCCTTGGCACCAGCCGGCTCGGCCTCCGGCGCCGCCGTCTCCTTGCGCCGCTTCTCCAGCTGGATGAAGGGATTCTGGTGCACCGGGCCAATCTTCTCCTGCAGCACGGCGCTCTCCTCCTGGCCCATCCCGGAGCTGGGCAGCCCCACCACAGCTGAGGGGGGCCCTGCTCCGCCGCCACCGCCCTCCGGGTCCGAGAAAGAGGCGCCGGAGCCCTGCTTGGCGCGGCGGCGTTCGATGATCTCCCGCTTCCAGGCTGGCATCTTGGCCATGCGGTCCTGCTGCTCCCGCTCTCTACGTCGCGCCTCTTCCTCTTCCTTCCGCTTCCTCTCCAGCAGCTGCAGCTTCCACTCCGGCAGGGCCGGTGCCTGAGCCGACGCCATCCTCGCCCCGGGGCTGTGGGGGGCAGGGAGGGAAGTGGGGATGGGGGGAAGGGAGAGAGAGGGGGGCAGGGAAGGAGAGATGGAGGGAGAGGTGGAATAGATGATAGTTTGAGAGGATGAAAGGGAGGGATAGAGAAAGTGTCAGGGAAGGAGGGATGGAAGAAGAGGGGGAATGGAGGGAGAGTTTAAGAGGATGAAAGGGAGGGATAGAGAAAGTGTCAGGGAAGGAGGGATGGAAGAAGAGGGGGAATGGAGGGAGAGTTTAAGAGGATGAAAGGGAGGGATAGAGAAAGTGTCAGGGAAGGAGGGATGGAAGAAGAGGGGGAATGGAAGGAGAGTTTAAGAGGATGAAAGGGAGGGATAGAGAGAGTGTCAGGGAAGGAAGGAGAGTTTAAGAGGAGGAGGAGAGAGAAAAAGGGGCAGAACTGAAGGAATAGTTTACGAGGAGGAAGGTAAGGCCGGAGGAAGGTAAGGCCGGAGGAAGGGAGGGATAGAGAGTCAGGGAACGAGGACTAGTGGGAAGCAAGGATAGAGAAAGAATGGAAGAAGGATAGAGGGGTCTGAGGAAAGAAGAAACGAGGAAGTGGGAGAAAGGAGGGATAGAGAGAGAGCTGGGGAGGCGGGAGAGGCAGGGAAGGAGGGATAGCGGAGCCGGCAGGGGAATCAAGGGGCTCCCTGCTCTCCCCCGCCCCTGCTCTGGAGGAAGAGAAAGAAAGAAAAAAAAAAAGGAAAAGATGAAAAAAATCCCCAAAGTTCCGCCTGTGTCAGCCTGGCGATTTCCGGAGGGGGCGGGCACTGCTCGCCCCACCCGCCGGGCTGACAGCCCCGCACGCGGCTGGGAATCCTGGACCCCCATGGAACCCAGGAGTCCGGGGAGGGGGAAGGGACAACCTGGGTGGGCAATGGAACCCAGGCGTCCGGGTGTGGGGGAGGGAACCCAGGAGTCCAGGGGATGGGGGGCGGTGGGGGGATGGCTCAAACCGGGTGGAGGGTGGAACCCAGGAGTCCGGGGGAAACCCAGGAGTCCGGGAGGATGGCTTAGGTTTGGTGGACAATGGAACTCAGGGGTCTGAGCAAGGGAGTGTAAATCTTGGAGGGAAGAGATATATATTACCCCAGAGAGAGCTCAAATCTTGATGGCTCAGAGGAACCCAGGTGTCCGGGCACAGACGGGTGTGTCGGGGGAGGGGGGAACTTTTTGGTGGGGGTGGGTGGAAATTACCCTGGACTCCAAACCTCGATGGCTCAGGCAAGCTGGGCAATGGGACCCAGGCGTCCGGATGGGGGAGGGGGCTGGAATGAAGCCTGTCAATCAGCATGGAGAGGGAGAGAGAGAAGGGGTAGAATAATTACCCCGGGGGAAAGTAGCGGAACCCAGGCGTCCGGGCGGCGAAAAGGCGGCTCCTTTCGGCGCGGGAGGGTTCTAATTCTCTGCGGGCTCCTCAGAACCCAGGCGTCCGGGCGAGGCGTGCGGGGGAGGGGAAGGTTCCAAACCTCCTTTTGTCAGCGACGATCCAGCGCAGTGGGGACCCAGGCGTCCGGGCAAAGAGATCTCAGACTCCTATTGTCAGCGTCAGATTGCGGGGGATGGGGGTAGAAATCTCGGTAGGACCCAGGCGTCCAGGCAAGGAGCTCGCAGGCTCCTATTGTCAGCGTATTGGAGGGGTGGGGGGGATCAGTGGGACCCCGGCATTCGGGCAAGGATCACAATGTGTGTGTGGGGGGGTGTATGAGATCGACACCTCGGAGGGACCCAGGCGTCCAGGGGAATTTCCCGGCTCTCAGCGGCGGCTTCTCACGGCCCCATGCGGCTCCCCTCCCCCAGTCTGGTGGCGCCCTCCTCCGAGCCTTCCCTTGGGGGGGGTGGGGGGCCGATCCGCAGCCCCGCTTGGGGGGCCGGGGCGGGGGAAGCGCTGGCAGGAGGCAGCGGGGCCCTAGGGAGAAATCGCTGCTGGCCCAGCCGCTGAGCCGTCCGCAGAGCCGTAATCCCCGCCTGGCTCATCCCCCCAAAGCCTGGGAGAGGAGTGAGATGCGGCGGGGCGGGGGGGGTGGAGGAGGGGCAGGGGGGGAAGCTGTGGGGGGTGTCTTTGTGTATAAACAGAAGGGGACGAGGACACAATGCGAGGGGAGGGGCTTTGGTAGCAGAGTTGGGGGGGTTGGAGTGTGTGTGTTGGGGGGAGGGTCGGATCTGGACAGATGGGGGAAGGGGGGAGGTTATGGGGTTGGGGGCGGGCTCTCAGGAGAGGGGGGCATTGAGGGAGTCTGGGGGAAGGGGTGGGGTCAATGAGGAGGGGGCTTTCGGGGAGGGGAGGGTGTGTGGAGTGGGGGGAACAGGGGGTGGGTCTGGGATGGGGAAGGGTGTGTGCGATGGAGGGGTCAGGGATGGGGAGGGTCTGTGAGATGGGGGGATCAGGGGGTGGGGCTGGGGGAGGGTGTGTGGGTGGAGGATCGGGCTGGGATGGGAGAGGGTGTGTGAGGCGGGGGGATCAGGGGGTGGGTCTGGGGTGGGGAAGGTGTATGGGTTGGGGGGATCAGGGGGTGGGGCTGGGATGGGGAGGTTGTGTGGATTGGGGGGATCAGGGGGTGGGGCTGGGATGGGGGTGTTCTTTGTGAGGAGCTCCTAGGCTCTCTAGAGGCACAGGGGGCAGTTTTTGATCTGGGGATGTCCCCCTATTTGCATGGGGCTATCCGGGGGGGACACACAATGATTTGAGGATTTTGGCTTGATCCCCAGAACCTCTAAGCACCCAGGGGATTTCAAGCAATTTCTCTGTGGATCTAGGGGTACAGATTAGAATAATAGAATCATAGAATATCAGGGTTGGAAGGGGCCTCAGGAGGTCATCTAGTCCAACCCCCTGCTCAGAGCAGGACCAATCCCCCATAGTTGCCCCAGATCCCTAAATGACCCCCTCAAGGATAGAACTCACAACCCTGGATTTAGCAGGCCAATGCTCAAACCACTAAGCTATCCCTCCCCACCAGATAGGGGCTTTTGGGGGGCAGAATTTGGGTTGTCAGGGCTTGGGGGGTGCAGGATTGCAGAAGATTGGGGGTGCATCCTTGTTCAGGTCAAGATGCTGGCTCCAGTCTGGGCTCCCCCCGACACTCCCAGCCCTGACCCACCCAGCACCACTTAATCCCTCTCCAATCCCCCTCCAGAACTAGGCTCTCCCAACCTGAGTTCCCAGGGGGTTATTATTGTAGGGTCTCCTCCCCTCTGGGGCTGGGTGGGCCAGTTTGTTATTGCAGGGCAGCTGGCGAGCACTGGGACAACACACAGCAGTGTGTGATTGTGGAGCCCCTTGCATTCACAAGGGCAGTGCAGGAAGGTTGGTTATTGTAGGGTTTCCTGTGGGTGTTTGCTGATTTGTTGTTGTAGGGTAACTAACAAACACTGGTGCTGCTGTGCCGACCAGTTTGTTATTGTAGGGTCTCTCAGGCGTACTGGGGGTTGCTCATTATTCTAGGCTCACCCAGTAGCCCTGGGAAGGACACTAGTTTGTTTTGGTAGGGTCTCTCATCACCTGGACAGGTTTCAGAGTAGCAGCCGTGTTAGTCTGTATCCCCAAAAAGAAAAGGAGGACTTGTGGCACCTTAGAGACTAACAAATTTATTTGAGTATGCTTCCGATGGAGTGAGCTGTAGCTCACGAAAGCTTATGCTCAAATAAATTTGTTAGTCTTTAAGGTGCCACAAGTCCTCCTGTTCTTTCAACACCTGGAGTGATTTTTAATACACCACCACCCCCTGGTGGTCTGTTCGAGAGACTGCACCTTCTGGTTCCCTTCCCTGGGTTCCTAGAGAGACAGCCCCAAGGTCTCGTCGGCTTAACTGGGACAAGAGGCAGGAGCCAACCTCTCTAGGTGAGGCGAAGGGTGCCTCTTTCAAGAGAACCCACCAAAAGCAAGTCACTTCTGTAAACCTAGCTGCAGGGTAAAATAAATAACCCCAAGCCCTTCCGCTGGGATGCAGCCACCTCTGGGGAGGGGCAGCTGGGGAACAGCCTCGCAGCGACATTGCATGGGGCTCACTCCCCCAGCCCTGAGATGCAGCCACCTCTGGGGAGGGGCAGCTGGGGAACAGCACCCAGCAGAGCTGTACAACACTTTAGGAGGGGACTTCTGTGGCCAGTTAAAGTTGCAAAGCGCGCGGGGTTTAGGCCTAGGGACTAGAATAAGATGCGCGGGAATTAGGCCAGGACAATGGGGTTACCACCCCACCTCTTGGGAAAAGGGATCAAGGGACGTTTACCAACTTCCTCCAGCACAGCGCCCCCTAGTGCTGCACTAGGGCATTGGTATCAGTGGTGAGTGCCAGGGGACAGTGCCCCTTTTCAAGACCCCCCCCGCCCCGGTTCCCTGCAGCACCTTATTCCAGTGCTAACCCCGCCTGACCCTTCAGATCAGACAAGAGCCTTAGCTCAGGCGCCCCCCCCCCCCGCCCCCAGCTGTCTGCTCCGTCTAATCCAGCAGGAATGCATGACGCACACATGCCGGTAGATCTATGTCATAGCCACAGTCCCCTGCATCGGCCCTTGGAACAGGGCCTGGATTCTCCCCAGCCAGCCCAGCATTCAGCCCCCTGCCTGTCTCGCTAAGAGCAACCTTGGGGTGCAGATGTCAAACCCCACCTCGCTCCTGGGAGGGGGGGGGAACGGAAGCATTGCCATAGAGCAGTGGATTTCAACTTTGTTTTTTCATTTGCGACCCCCCCTAAAAAATTTCAAATGGCAGTGTGGACCCTCCCCGGAAATCTCTGAAACATAGTCTGCAGAACCCCAGGGGTCCGTTGAAAACCACTGTTATATAGCAACTCTGCGTCTCTAATGCAGAGATACAATACAATGGCCAGTGCTCCTGCACCAACACCACCCCCTGGTGGTGAGGCAGTGAAATGCTATGGCTCGTGTGCCTACACCAACGCTGCCCCCTAGTGGAGAGAGAATGAAATGCTATGGCCCGCGTGCTTGTACCAACAGGGCTCCCTACTGGAGAGATGTGGTATAATGCAATGACGAGGGTGCACCCAGCACACTGCCCCCTGCTGGGGAAATGTAATGCAATGCCATGGCAAGGGCGCATGTACCAACATCACTCCCTAGCAGGGAGCATCATAACTGCTTGCTTGTCTGTCAGAGGCTCTTGTCCATCTGCAGAGCAGCGATTATTTTCCCTTAGCTGCAGGATGGTGTTTCTGGAGTGGGCGGAGCAGTTCTCTTCCCAGCACTGCCGAGCTCCCAACAGCCAAGACGAGAAGCATGCATAGGGCACCCCAGACTTGTTACAGCACCATCTGTTTCACAGCTAGGGACACAGCGGCGAAGACAAGTGACTCGCCGTGTCAAGTGGAGAGTGGCTGAACTGGGGATAGAACCCGGGAGCCCCGGCTCCCAGCCCGCCCCTTGCTCTAACCACTAGACCCCATTCCCCTCCCAGAGCTGAGGGGAGTGGCAGACAAGTGTGTAAAAGCAGCAACAACTTGTATTTAAAAAAAATTTGTTTTCTCAGATCGCACAAAAATCAAAGATACAAAAATACTTTATCAGCTTCGGGTTAAGACCAACACATTAAAAAAACCCAGCGCTTAAAAATAAAGGTTCCTGGTTAAGGCATTGGTGTAAGGCTGGGGTCCCCTCCCAGAGCCAGGAATAGAACCCAGGAGTCCTGACTCCCAGTTTCATGCCCAGCCCAGAGCGGTCGCAGCCTCCTGCATCAGAACAGAGAAACCATAAAACACGAGACTTGGAGACCAAGTGTCTCAGGTCTGATCCAAAGCCCAGCCAGATCTTCCCATTGACTCCCATGGGCTTTAGATCCAGCTCTAAGTCCAGTTAAAATCTCCCCCTGCTGAGACACAAAGACTGGGGTTCTGGGGACAGAAGAAGCCGCTCCCTCAGCCCCCATCCCTAATGTGCCTCAATTCAGACCTCTGATAATTACTGAGGCCGCCAGCAAGGGGGCACAGAGGTGCCTAAAGTGAATGGTTGGGGCCAGGATCCCCATCAGTTTGATTCATAGGGCGCAGGTAGATGGGAATGGCTTTTGGTTACTAGCGAATGGAACCGGCGTCCCAAGAGGAGAAAGGCCCGGTATCCCATGCCTCAATCCCCTGAGCCAGCCAGTTTCCCTGCCCTGGCTGGATTGGAGCTGGCGCCCCCTAGAGGGGAAAGGCCCCATGTCCCATTTACTGCACCCCTGAACTGGCCGCTCCCCGATAAAGCATCTGTCCCAGTGTGTTACTAAATTAAGCACAGATTTATCATCATTTTGTTTTAAAAAAAACCAAAACATTTTCAGAGAATCTTTTTGCAGCCACAACTGCGGATTGAAACAAAACACACTGGGTAAAGCAGCCGGGTAAAAGCCAGGGGTCCTGACTCCAAGCCCCAACCCAGCCCTCTGACCATGAGACTCCCCTTCCCTCTCAGAGCTAGGGACAGAACCTAGGAGTCCTGACTCCCAGCTTCCCCTGTTCTAACCCACTAGATCACATGCCCCTCCCAGAGCTGGGGCTCGAACCCAGGAGTCCTGACTCTCAGCTCCCACCCTGCTGTAACCACTAGACCCCACTCCCATCCCAGAACTGGGAATAGAACTTAAAACCCTAGGAGAGGAGACTGGGCTCTAATGGTTAGAGCAGGGAGCCAGGACTCCTGGGCTCTACCCCCTGTCTCTGGGAGGGAGTGGAGCCTCGTGGTTAGAGGAGGGACTGGGTTGCTTTGCAAGCGGCTGCGGATGTTAGGCACTCAGAAGTGATAATCCTACAGTAACTAATGCAGGGTTTTTGACCTAAGGGCATCAGTGCATGGCAGAGACCCAGGCCCTGGCCCCTCAGCTCTCCTTGCCAGCCGCAGGGCCATTGTGGGCCAGCAGGTCCCCATAGGCCGCCTCCTCGCGGGAGAAGACCAGGAATTTCTTGTCGAGCTGGGCACGCAGGTAGAGGTAGTCCTGCTGGTCCAGGCTGTGCCCGCAGCTCAGGTAGGTGGTGAAGAGGCCAGCCAGCAGGAGGCGATCCAGAGACAGGCAGGGCACGGCCCAAAGCACCAGCAAGAACTCCAGGTAGACAGGGTGGCGAAGGTGGGAATAGAGCCGCACGGCCCGCACGGACTTCAGCGCCAACGGGTCCCCCATGCCCAGGCAGTGGTAATAAACCTGGGGGGCAGGAGGAGAGGTTAAGGGCAGAGTTGAGACACCCCCCAGATCTGAGGCTGGATTGGAGCCGGCGCCCCCTAGAGGGAAAAGGTCCCGTGTCCCATTCCCCATCCCCCTGAGCCAGCCAGTCCCCCAGCCTGGGGCTGGATCAGAGCTGGCGCCCCCTAGAGGGGAAAGGCCCCTGTCCCATTCCTCATCCCCCGAGCCAGGCAATCCCCCTGCCCGGGTTGCAAGGAGACCGAGGTACCTGTTTGACTCCCATGAGCTCAGCATAGTCGAAGATGAGGGTGACGCTGAAGATAACCAACCAGGCGATGAAGTGCAGGATGAAGCAGATGAGCGGGACCCAGGTGTCCCAGGGCTCCGTGCAGGCGTTCCAGAGCAGGGGGCCATGCCGGACGGGTTGCCAGTACCGCATCAGCAGCTGTGGGGGTGTCCCATTAGAAATACTTCTGAAAAAGCCCCCCCCCGCAGCCCCGACCTGCAGCCCCCTGCTATCCCAGCCCTGGGCTACCCCCAGCCCCCTGCTATCTCAGCCGTGGGCTCCCCCACAGCTGTGCCGGTGCCCCTCACTCCCGACCCGCAGCCCCCGGTGGTACCTGGAGGGCCAGGGCGGTGCAGAAGACGTAAAAGGATCTCTGCAGCACCCCGAAGCAGCTGGTGGTCCAGCGCTTGACCAGCGCGGTGGCCATGAGGCTATGCTGCAGCACGAAGAGTGCCACCAGGCCCAGGTCCATGGCTAGGGGCCACAGCACCCCGGGGTCCTGCAGGGCAGCCCCCCACTCCACGCTGGGGGTGGCCTCTGCAAAGGGGAAGATGGGGATTAATGGGGGGCAGAACGTACCGAGCGAGGAGTCACCCATTTGGCTCCCGCATAGGGCACTGCTCCCTCTCCCACACCCAGTTCCCTCTTTGCTCCCCAGCTCCCAACCTTGGCCTGATCCCCAGCAGGGCCCATGTCCCACCCTGACCGCCCTCCCCTCATAGCTCCCCCCAATCCCATCTTGTCACCATTCTCCACTTACCCACCCCAAACTCACTCCCCCTCCCACTGGGCCCCTCCCAACCCCCTGATTGGGATGGATTTCCCCCAGGATCCACCCCACCTTGAGGGGCTTCCCTCTGGGTGTCCTCTGTTTATCCACTCCCACCCCGGGTCTCCCCTCCTAACCCTCTCCCGCCCTGGGTCGTCTCTAGGGATCCGCCTCCCCCCAGTCTCTCCTACCAACCCCCCAGTCTCCCTCTAGGCCTCTCCTACCAACCCCTTCTGCCCCAAGGCCTCCTCTAGGGCTCCCCCTCCCTTCTGAACCCCCTCCCGCCCTGGGTCTTCTCTAGGGCTCCCCCTCCCTTTCCAACCCCCTCCCGCCCTGGGTCTTCTCTAGGGATCCGCCTCCCCCCAGTCTCTCCTACCAACCCCCTCTGCCCCAGGGCCTCCTCTAGGGCTCCCGCTCCCTTCCCAACCCCCTCCGGTCTCCCCCTAGGTTTCTCTTACCAACCCCCTCCACCCCAAGGCCTCCCTCTCCTTCCCAACCTCCTCCCGCCCTGGGTCTCCTCTGGATTCCCCCTCCCCTGCCAACCTCCGGGGTCCCCGCTAGGTCTGGTCTCCCCCCACCCAACCCCCTACCCCCAAGTTTCTCCCTAGGTCTCTCCTCTCAACCCCCCCCCCCCCGCCATCTCTCCCCCCAGCTCCATCCCCCGGCACCTCCCTCCTCCTCCTCTCCCCTTCCCTTCTGCCCCGGGTCCCCCCCCGGCCCCAGCCCCGGCCGGCCCCGGCCCCACGCACCCGGCCGCCGCCCGCCGGGCAGCACGGCGCGCAGCGAGGCGAAGCGGATCAGCTCCACGCCGGTGCCGAAGGTGAAGAGGAAGCTGCCCAGGGCCGGGACCAGCAGCAGCAGCGAGGCCGCCATGGCAAGCAGGGAGCCGGGGCGGGGCCTCCGCTTCTCCCGCCGCCCGGAGAGTCCCGCCCCGGCCCGGGGAGGGGCTTCCCCCGGGAACCTCCCCAGTGACCCGCCAGGCAGCGGAGGGGCTTCCCCGGGATTCCCCTCCCCAATGACCCGCCCCGGCCGGGGGAGGGGTTTCCCCTGGGATCCCCGCCTCAGTGACCCGCCCCGGCCGGGGGAGGGGTTTCCCCTGGGATCCCCGCCCCAGTGACCCGCCCCGGCTCGGGGTGGGGGGTTTCCCCAGGGATCCCCGCCCCAGTGACCCGCCCCGGGCGAGGGAGGAGTTTCCCCAGGGATCCCCGCCCCAGTGACCCGCCCCGGCTCGGGGTGGGGGGTTTCCCCAGGGATCCGCCTCCCCAGTGACCCGCCCCGGGCGAGGGAGGAGTTTCCCCAGGGATCCCCTCCCCAGTGACCCTCCTGTAGGGGGAAGGGGCTTCCTGGGATTTCCCCCATCCCACCTCCAGTGAGTCAGTGACCTGCCCTCAGGGAAGGGCTTCCCCCGGGAATCCCTGTTCCCTAGGCTTCCCAAGGCTCAAAGGGAATCTCCCTCCTCTTGGGAATTTGCCTCTTTCTGAGCTCCCCCACCCCGAGTAGGCAGGTTTCCCTTTTGATCCCTCCAAAAAAGCCCCTCCCCCATGACATTCTCCATCCTTCCCTCTCCTTTAGGGGGAGCCAGGCGTCTCTCCCCAGGCCCCACCCTCTGCCCCTCTCTGGGATTCTTATGGGGCCCCCTCTTCCCAGAGATCTCCTTGCACTGGGGTCCCCCTCCAGAGATTCCCCATCAAGCCCACCCGCCTGCTCATCCCTCCAGAGCATTACCCCCAAGTCCCCCACTACTTGGGACTCCCTTAAAGATTCCCCACCCTCTCCTGACCCATGGGGATATATCAGGGATACCCCAGATCAATGCACCCCCAGATCAACCCACACAGCCCTGTCCAAGGAAGGGCTGCCTTCCCATCCATCCCCATATCGTCCCAGCCCCGCTGCATCCCTGGGCTCCCCCTCATCACCCCCAGACCCTGCTGCATCCCCTCCCCATGGCCCCAAGCTCCCTTCCACCCCTCGCATGCCAGGCCAAGTCTCAAGAATCCCCACTTTGAAGCTATTTAAACCTTCCCATTGCAGTTTGATTTGGGCTAATGGCACCGTGATTTTAACCAGGTCTTAAGCTAACAGGCTCACCTCTTCTCCAGGGAGGCACTGCTCTCCTGAATCACAGCTCTTCTGCCTAGGGAGATCCAAGAGCACAGATGTCTAGCCCATTTTTATTAAACTCTCTGTCTCCCTCCCGGAGGTCAGAGCTGGCAAAATTAGCCACAGCTCCCTCTGCTGCCCCTAAAGTCTTTGAATCCAGGGTAGTTACATTAACCTAGGCGGGCTGAGGATTGAACGTGGGAGCCTCATACTCTGCCTTTTTCATGTGATCAAGGGGACCACATGAGTAATGCTTTCCGGGGCCCACTCTTGGGCTGGGGTCCTGGGATGAGGTGTTCACCCCACATTAGCCCTGAAGGGGTTAAGGTGTCTCAGACAGGGCCTATTAACTATATAGGCCACATTCGGGGGGGGGGGGGGAGAGGAGGGGGAAGAGCCAGGGCCTGATACAAGCTTATGGATGGTGAAGCAGACTGAGCTTGTATAAAGCCAGGAAGTTTGCAACAGAAGGGGGCAGCAGGGACAGTCTACAATCACTCTCCAGGTACGGAGAGGTAGGTCGGAGGAAAAGTCCTTGGCTCCCAGCCTGTGGGAAGGGTTCACCCAGAGGCATTGCCAGCAAGAAAGTCTGTGGAAGAAAGGCAGAGTAGAATGAAGCCCAGGGAAAGAGCAGTATGGGGATGCTAGACTAGGCAAAAGCTACTCCCCAGATCTAGCTGCAGGGAGGTCCCCCAGTGGCGAGGGTACCCCATTACAGGCCTGATAATTAGGGTTTACTGGGGAGATGTGGACTGTTCTCCCCCACTCTGTTCCTTTTTTCCAGGCACAAACCGGGGACCCGGTCCTACTCCAGATTTTTGCCCTTCTCTTTCTGGCTTGCACTCCCTGCATAGCGTGGCTTGCACGTACAAGTCAGCAATCTGCAGCTGTTTCAGGAGCCTTCTCCCACGCAGCGGCTCACACTTCTTCGATGCAGACATCAAAGGATTCGAGGAGGTATAGTCCCCAGTGTAATGTGAAACCTCTTTAACAGGGAATTTAAAAACATCCTATCACAGTTTCACTTACAGCCATGTCATTACACCCCTGTAACGCTTTAGTCACCAGCTGGGAGAGCAAAACAGCCAGGCTCCATCCCTCAGGGATGTTCTGGACGCTGCAGATCCTTTCAAAGGTGGTCAAATTGTTGTCAG